TGCAGGAGTCAGAAGAACTTTATGAATTTAATGTCTCTCTGGAGTTCAGTAAATATCCCATTTCAGCTTTATGCCACACAGCTCTAGCAGAAATGCTTGTTAGAGGTGATCAACTGTTGTTTAAGGCCATTAAAAAGAGTAGGGCTTGGACAGAGGCTATACATATCCCAGTAAAAACTGCCTGCTAAAAGCTCTGTAAGCACGTATCCTTTTAAACATAATACAAACCAAGAATGCACTAACAGTTCCCCATAACTTCCTCATGTGACCATATAAAGTTACAATCATCCCCAATAAGGATGTGCATATAATTGTTGGGCATCCCTGCTCACCTCATCTCCTGATATAGTTCCCACCTTCACAGGTGAGGGACACCAAGGAAATATGGAAGACCCAAAACATGCAAGACCACCAGCTCAGAGGTTTTAGCTGCAGCTGGATTAGGTTTTCATCTTAAATGCCTGTTACTCTCTACACAAAAATCTGTTCCTGTATGTCTGTGAATGAGTCTCCCTACCGTGTGCGAGGCACTTTTGAATCCAGTGAGCAAATATGGTCTCTTCATCACTAAACAGCTAAATCAAGTCATAATAGTCAGCCCTACCTTTTCAATACAAGTCTAAAGAGTCACAGCTTGCAAATATCCTGAGTGCTTCTTAAGTCCACATGTCTAGCCAAAGCAAATTCATAAAAGCCATTCAGTTCTGTCATGCCCATTTCACAACAGAAAGTAATTCTTAATAAGACAAGCCAGAGTATCCAAATAGAAACCAGTTTTGCCTTGAAAATGATGGAAGTAAATCTACATCCTTTATGTTTAAAACCAGAATACTTCAGCCTCTCAGTGCTGCACCAAAATGCACAACACTTAGGTATGGAGAGCATGTCATGCACGCAAGTTTTTTCACAGTAGTTGGCTGTGCTCAAGAGCCTGGATCAGTTATTGAACAGAAAGTGGAACTGTATGTCTCTCCATCTAAGGGATGAAGGCCCCAGCCTTGGAACCTGAGACTGCACAAACAACAGTCTTCTCTGCAGACAAGCAGAGATTTTTACTAGTAAGAACTGTAAAAAGTTCAGGGCACAAAGAGAAGCTTTTAAGAGAAAACCAATGACTAAGTAAAGGAAAAGTTTTAATTTTAGATCAGGAACACTTTGTACGCTGAATTCCAGTAGCACTGCTTCCAGCCTATATCCCAGCATATTTGGTCTTTTACAGCACTTCCATTGTAAATTACAATCCCCTCACAAGAGTTCAATCTGGTAAATAATTTATAATTCACTGCTCCAACAGAAGCACTGGAGTTAAGAACCGGATTAAATCACATTAGTTTAAGTAGTGTGTGCTAGTAATTCACTGTAGAAGGGCTTGGCATAGCCTGGACTGCTGCAGCTGGGCAGCCACCAGACAGGTAAAAACTAAGGCCTTGCCTTATTCCCCTCCGGTGCTATGGGACTTAACTCCAATATCCTCGGGGGGAAGAATGAGCAAGGTGCAAGTATTTTATGAATTTGTGAAGACTCATAGTGAGAGTTCACCTCCAGAAACTACTGTTCAATTGTATTAAATGTAGCTAAACAGACTCGAGTTTCTTCTACCCCAACAAGACCTGGGTATCTTTTTTTCACTGCCACTATTCTCCAACCTTCAGCTCACACGGGACTTGAACACACAAGCTGTAAGAACTCCAAATTTACGTGCTCTGTGACTGGCAGTCACTCCTCCTGCACAGCCTTGGAGCTACTGTTCAGTCAGAAGGATGATCAACACAAGGCAAAATGAGCTGCACGAGGAATGTAAACAGTCTGCTGATCCCCAGCACTCCTCCAATTCTACGTGGACCAAGATCTCTGTTTCACTTCACACTACCATTTATCCACTTCCAGCAAGAGAGAGTGGGAGAGAAGAGTTCAGTATTTAGCACTGCAACTTATGTTTAGCTTCTCTGGAGAGCACTGCATGGTTCAGTTCTTCTTTTAGTAAAGTACATACAGCTACCTCGGGAAAACTCTGAACTTGAGGGAAATCACATTTCATCAGCAACAGGCTGAATTTGGAATTAATTATATCACTAACCAATCTTCTAATCACTTAAAGCCATATTAATTAATTAAAAAGGCTAGAGGTACAAACAGTACACAGATTGACTTAAGCTACAGAAAGATTCAACTCAGGATCACTGAAAACAGCACAGTTACAAGGAACTGTAACTTTTTTGGATTTATCATAAAGCAGCATAGTACATTTGCTACACTAATACTAAATATGATAATTTATCTGTAGTCAAGCCAATTGCTTGGAAGTAGTGGGGAGGGGGGGAAGAGATTAAGCTAAATATGGGTGACAGCACAGAATTAGGAAGGGAAGGCCTCATGTTTCTACAAGTTCCCCACCAGTCAATAATAAGGAGCACGTATCATTTATTCATGACTCTAGATGTTTACAACACATAACATTAAGTTAGAGCTGATAAAACTGTACTGCAGATATCCAGCCAGATCAAACACTCTGAGTTCTTACATTCCTTTCATTTTCCCTCCCTATTTATCCCACCATGTAGGGACAACTGCAGAAGCAGCACTGAGGAGGCTGACTGCATTCCTACTGCCAGCTACTCCTGATCCCAACTTCAGTATTGCTTTAGAGCTCCTGCACTCAGCCTGGGGGGGAGAAGCAGCACAGAGTGAATGCTGATGAAATTGGGTCCTACATGTTAACAATGGGCATCCCAAGGTTTTCCCTGCTCTTCCACGCAGCTTTCACGCTAGGGAAAAGTCACTCAAGCACAGATTTAGCCCTTTAAACAAGATCAAATTATTTGAGAGCAAAAGCAGGTGGTAGCAAAAAATAGAATATGACTTCAGTACAGATCCCTCGAGAAGCAGGTGGGGAGCCCCTCACCCAAAACTGAGGTCCCACAATGCTGATATTGGCAGCGTTGCAAGACACACACCACCAGTAATCACAGAAACAGTCATTTGACATGCAAAGCAGCCCAGTACACCTCCTGCATATTAAGCGTGATGTCCTCTCATCACTGTTGTATAGACCAAACACAATCAGCAGGATTGGTTATGTTTGCTAGTTTTAAACTGTAAGAACTATAGGCTTCTAAGGAGAGTCTGACATCAGAAACACTTTGACCCCAAGTTTCTTACTTAGAAAACTGTACTGCAGCTCTTAGGAACCTATTTGAGATTATTACAATCACTGCTATAGTGGACACAGGCAGGGAGGGGGTGAGTGACAACAGAATTCTTCACCCTGTTAAACTCTCCTAACCCATGAAAACTCAGAGGACACAGGTGTGTCTGCTCCCTTGGGCACAGAGATTAGATATTTCTGGAATTCATTAGCTCTAATTACTGTTTTTCAGGCCAGAGCTCCTTCTAGGGTCACCGGGACAGTTCTTCCAGTTAAGCAAAAACCACTTCCAAAGGGAGCTGGAAGTGGCCATAACCATTTCCCAGGCTGAAATGCCTGAAGAGGCACCAAGTCCTCACTGAGGGAGGATGCCCCGTTTGTATTTTGAAATGGATGCCTGATTTGACAGAAAGGGGCGGTACAGCGACAGAAGGATGACTTGCCAAGTCCACTTCCTGTTCTCTCATTCATTTAGCAAATTCCTTTAATTCCTGCCTCAAACTGCATGTTCAGAGACCGCTGTTCTCTCACTCCATTTACAACCCTCCCTCACCACCGGGTCACAAGGAAACAGATAAACCGGTTTGTCTGTGCTGCATCCATTAGTCATGGATCTCTTCCAACGCTGGCATTATAGTTTTAACAGGCTATTAAGACAACCATGTTATTCTGGGGGAGGATTTTTTTAAAATATTGTTATGTTTGGAAGAAGGGACAGAAGCTGTGCAGCTTCCAAGTCCAAATGCTTTCTTGCACCTCATCTCACCGATTTCCCCGCAGCTCGAGCTGCACAGAAAGAGGTTCCCCGGAACCTCAGCGATCCTGAAGGTGATGGTAAAACAGAAAAACCGCGATCCCTCTGTAAGACTGCGGCGTCCCCCCGAGCCAGGGCGGGAGCGCCCGCGGTCCCCGGGGCGAGCGGCGCGGCCCCGGCGCGGCGCCTCCCCCTCCCCGGAGCGGGAGGTCCCTCAGGCGGCGAGTGACTCTGCACAAATCGCGGCCGCTCCGCACGGCGCGGAGAGGCAGCCCCGGCGATAGATGGAGGGATGGACGGGCGGACGGACAGACAGACGAGGCAGCTCAGAGCCCGCACCGGGGGCGGGCTCGGCCCCGCGCGCCTTCCCGCGGCGCCCAGCGGGACGGCGGCCGCGCTCCGCAGGGAGGGAAAGAAGGCACGGAGGGGGTCCCAGGGGACGGAGGGGGTTCCCTCCGCGGCCTGGCCCCCTCTCCCCGCCCCTCAGCGCGCCCCCGGCCCGCCTAGGCCGCGGCCCCCCCACACCCCGTGAGGGACGGGGTGAGGCAGAGGAGGGGGAGCCCCTTCCCCTCGCCTCCGTCGCCGCCCCGCCGCGCTCACCTGGAAATGCTCCTGGAAGCGAATGGGCAGTATCTGGGCCATGACTGGGGGCGAGCTGCCCGGGGCAGGGGCGCGGGGCAGGGGCGGGCGGTGCAGCGGAGCGGGGGCCGGCGCTCCCCTCACGGCTGCGGGAGCGGCGCAGGCGCGGAGCCCTCGCTGGGATGGCGCTCGGCGCGCCCGCCGCCCTCCTCAGCCTCAGCGCGGGGCCGCTCACTCGCCGCCGGAATCACTCCGCACCTCGCCAGCTTGCCAGGGTCTCCTCAAATAGTCCCTCCCCGCCGCGCTTCTTTCCCCCGCCCATCGCCGCCGCCCCTCGCCTCCCCTCAACCCCCCGCTCTTCCTCTGCCCCGCTGTCCCTGCACTCCCGCTGAGGGGATGGGCTGGGGACGGCGCTCCCAGGAGAGGGGGGGTCCCCGCACCGGCTACGACCAACGGAGAGGGGCGGGAGGGGTTGCTACAGTACAGGTATCCTTCCGCTGCTGCCACACGCGCTCACGTGACCTGGACCCCTCCCCGGCTCCCTCCGGCGCTGCCCCGGGCTCCCCTCACACGGACCCTCGAGGCTGTCCCCGACCCACCCTCACACCGCCCCCGGGGCTGCCCCGGGCTCCCCTCACACCGACCCTGGGGCTGCCCCGGGCTCTCCTCACACAGACCCTCGAGGCTGTCCCCGACCCACCCTCACACCGCCCTCGGGGCTGCCCCGGGCTCCCCTCACACCGATCCCGGAGCTGTCCCCGACCCACCCTCACACCGACGCCGGGGCTTCCCCAGAGCAGCTTGGCGGTGCCAGGGCGATGGTCCCTGCCCTCAGCGCCCCGGGGCTCCTGCCGGGGTGAGGAGGGAGGCAGGGGACGCCCAGGCGCTTCCCCCCCGGCGGTGGCCCTTGGTGGGCACTGGGGAACGGGAGCCGCCTGCCCGGCACCTGCCGTCGTGGGTGGCAGTGCCAGAGCGTGGCTCTCCTTCTCCTCCTCAGGAGCCCCCGGGACCCTCAGGGGGCTCGGCCAGCGCTGGGGTCCGGCGGAACAGCTGCCCTTGGCCCACCTTGACTTGCCCTAGCGCCATGTGGGCTTTGCTGCCTGCAGCCCTGCCCGGAGGTACGTGAGGGGTTTTATGACCACATGTTTGGAAAACCATCCCGCTGTTTTGCCCCGTGCGATTTCCAAATGGGAATAGGGCTCCTTCCCCCACGAGTTGACACTGTGAATTGGAAGTTATTGAATAACCAAGAAGTGAAGGGTTCAACATGCAAGAGGTACATCAACACCTTTTTCTTTCACCCTCACTCCTTGCCAGCCCATTAGCATCAGATGAGGGAGGTGAAGGTAATGTTAAAGCTATTATATTTCTCCTAAATTACAGTAATCCTTTGAGATGGAAATTGCTGCAGTGTTGCTAGCTCCAGCACTTTTATCCAGAGCATTGTGTTGTTCACATTTTCCCAGAGAGCTCAGCTCTGGGAAACACAGGATTACAGGAGAATCTCTAATTTAATTTTTTATAGATTAGTTTCTTATGTACTGAGTTGTGAAGCAAAGCTGAACAAGGGACCCCTGAAGACTCAAAACCAGAAGGCAGATTAAAACAGTTTCAAATATATTACAATTTAAAACCTCATTATTTTAACTTCACCTCATTCATTTTTAATACATGGAGGTGGGAATTGCCAAAATTGGGTTAGGTTTCCAAAGGAATCATAGGCATGGCTCTGCTGAGACACCTTGGGTTCTACTGGCATGCACAGTCACAGGCTGCAGCCATGGGGACCCCTTTGCCATATTTGGGAGACGTGAAGGTCTACATCTGGACAGAGGAAATCCTGAACAGCCCATTGAACAGGTGGCTGGGATGAGGTGCTGCTAAAGCCCCATCCCTGAGGAAATCTGGGATCTGTAGCTGTCCCCAGAAGACTCCTGATTGGGGTTGGGTACCAAGGTCTGGCCTCTCAAAAGAACAAAGCAAAAACTGAAGCTGAAGTGGAGACAACTTTTCTTTACATGATCAAAAGGGGTTTGAGTAGCATCTGCCCTGCAGGTTTGTTAGTAGCAGTTTAATTAAGGTGGGTTATGAGTTTCCAAATGAGGGTAAGTCAGCAGTGCTGCAGAGACAGACCATCAGTGGGACGTCAGGACATCATCTGTCACCAGCCCATGTTGGTATAGTGAGTTTGTTCTGTGTTTTCTTCTGTCAGCTGTCCTCCCTTACAGTCACTTTATGGATGCTAATTATTTATATCCAGACCTCCTATTTTTGCTCTTTAGTTTATAGCTAACTATGTCTTAAAGAAAAACAAGGCACAGACTTTCATCATTTATTTCACAAATAAAGTAAGACCTCTTAAGTAATGTACATAGTTATACTATATACATTTTTATATCATTTTTGTTTTAAAGAGAACTGTGACAAAAGAAAGAAGCAACAGATTTGTCCCTGAGACTTATTTTTATCATTAAGAATTACAAATGCACAAAAGTCACTGTGTATTGTGTGCAATCCCTCTTAGTAGTCTGGCACCAAACTGCTGATGTGAACTAGAGAGATCACTGGCAAGGAAATCGAGTCTCTTTTAAAGTATAATTAAAATTAAAGGTCTGTTATATTTCTTCACTCCAGTTTTAATAATATAATCCTTCATGCCCAATCCCAGCTGGCCAAATCCTAATTACAACATCCCACAATATCCATCGTAAAAAAAGCATCTGCCTTTATGTAAGAGTGCTTTGCCACACTTCTGTCTGCTGATGTCTTTCTCAACTGTACCTTCTTTACACCTCTCTGTGTTTAAATATCTGTCCTTTATAAGACCCAGCTTTGCTGATCCCAAGGGTTACATTCTTTGCAAGCATGGTCAGCTCTGTGAAAGAGCTGGACACTGTGGCACAAATCAAAAAAATAATGGGAAAAGTGTTTTGCCATCTTTTGTCCACTTTGCAGCCTGCTGAGCTTCCGCTGCAAAAGGAACTGCCCTCTGCACAGTCAGCTGTGTGCATGGGTGTTTTAACTATTTTAACCTTGTTTTCTATATTTAGTTTGGGATCTCTCAACGTGAAGGCACTACTGGCCTTATTTAAGGTATTTCTCCTACAGTCTATAGTCTATTAAAAGGCAATGTAAAGGGTCTCTAATGGTTCGTTGTGTTAGTGCCCCTCTGATTAGCTGACTGCTACTCTCCTGCTCCCTTATACAAGGCAGAGCCACAGCATCCAGCAGCTGAGAAGAGCATAATCCCTAGAAATCCTTTAACAAAGCAAATGGAAAAGCTTCTGGTAAATGTTTCTCTATTTATTTCAGAGGTTGCTCTCATCCAAATATTTGGTTTTCTGGCTCATCCTATGGATGGCAGCCTGATGCTTTTTTTTTTTTTTCAGTGTTTGAAAACAGCCCTGAGAAGAGCTGCATTTTTGTCTTGGAGAGGCTGTTATTTACATGGAAAAATATTGTATGTATTGTGCATGTTTCTAGTCTTCTTCCCACAGAATCATCCAAGGAAGTTCTTGCTCAACAACATCCGTTCAAATCACCACTTAACTGCACGAGTGTTCATTCTGCAAACTTTTGGCTGCTTTGCTGTTTTGATCCAAAAAAGTCAAATGGCACTGGCACATCTTCTGGCCTGTATTAGAGAGTGTCCACTGCAGACCTGCCCAAGTGGGATCATGTGCAGCTCCAAGGGGTGGAGAGTCTGCACGTTGGACTTGCTCGTCCTCGTGCCTGATTGTTGAAACTGCTGGGGAGCTGCTGCCTGTGGCACAGCACTGAGGCAGGATGTTGATCCACATCTGTTCCCAGCTCAACGCTGCCTGGCACCGTCAGAGTGTCAATGTTTTGCTTAACAGATAAATGCAAACCTCGGGAAAGCTGTATCAGCTGTCACACTGAGATGTTGTGGTGCAGCAATGTCAGAGCGTCACAACAGCTCCTAAAGTTCCGATTTGGTCTCTCCTGGAGAAAATTGGTATTTCATGGATCTCGAGGCCCTCACTGACTGTTTGCCTCAGAATCCAGTTTGAAATCGTACTCCTTGTTTTTCAAACCACACCCTCGCTCCTTGGACTTCTTTCCAGCTTGTCTCCTAGAGACGTGGAGCCCTCCCCTTTCCTCCCCTCTGTCTCTTCTCTCCTTCCAACAGGCTCCTCACTGCTGAGTCAAGAACTGTCTCCTCTCACCGTCTCCCATCCAGAGCTGACTCCTTGTGCGTGTCCTGCAGTCATTCTCCATTTCAGTGCAAAGTTCCATTCAAATAATGCTCTTTTCTCCTGGAATTCAATTCTTCTTTTCCATCTGTTCTTACTGAATGCATAACTCTGGGTCATACAAAGCACTCTGAGGCTCTGGATGAGTTTCTTCTGTGGTTTGTGTAAGTCATTGCGCAAGCTCCTGAGACCCAGCTGGTAAAAATGGTAATGTTTTTTAAGAAATTATTTGAAATGTAAAGATTCTGTTGCAGAGTTGTTTAATATGTAATTGTTTAATGTTTGAATTCCCTCTAGTTCATTCTTTGAAAGAAGAATGGCATTGCACATGCTTAGAATTTAAAGGCAATCCCCTGTTATGGTGGATTTAACTCCTGACATGTTCTTGATAAAGGTCACTTTATGAATTTAGTTCAGTATGTGAAGCCCCATCCTGTAGTCCCTGTACATGAAAGCTCTGCTGGAGATTATAATCCCCATCATCTCCATCAGCAGATTCTGATGGCATTTAATGTCAAAATGAACAGAAGTGTCTAGAGGCAGTAGCAGTGCAGGCTGGAGGTCTTGAGGTTCCCCACAGAGAATGCCACGATGATACATAATTTACTTGTAGCTTGCAAACAATGTGCCTGTCTTGCCTCCCAGAAGCATTTCCATTGGAAGGAGCCATTTCTGTCCACGAGCAGTACACGGACATCGATGCTCTCTGTGCATTCCTAGAGCTGTTTGCTCCTTCCCTGGACACTGGTGTTCTCCAGGCTTTGCAGCACAGGTGTTGAATCCCTTACATGGCAGTTTCTCAGCTGAAATTGCAGCTCCTCCAACCAGCCTTGTAAAAACAGAGATCTACTGGTGAGTGACGCAAAGCCGGATAAAGGGCACGGGAGTCAACGTGTGCCTTCAGAATCCTGACAGATGGATCAGGGCTGTGTGCTGCAACAACCCTTGGAGAAGCTGAATTCCTCCAGGGTGTTTCCTTTGGCAGCTCATTCATCAAGCGGATAGAGGGTGAATGTGTTCTTTGAAAACATAACCAGTGGCAAGGGATGAGGTAGCTGATATAAATCCAGGGTGCATCTCTCACTAATTTCACCAGGTCTGGAATGACAGAAACCAAGCTACGCTTCTAAATAGACCAAGTGAAATCTTAGCCTAGATGGTGGAGTGGTTGAACACCGCTTAGGAGCATAACTAGTCAGTGTGCACAAGTAGGGCACGAGAAAGGGCTGGGAAGGACCTGGAGGGGTCTGCTGGTTGTCACCTCTGTCCTACAGCAAGGCTGAATGTGCCAATTGCAGATTAACGGGGTGATTTGGGAAATGCTGAATATATTGACTGTTAGGGCCTTTTAGCTATTTCCTTTGAAATAGACCCTTGACAGGGAAAACCTCAGTGTTCGTTTTCTTAACATTATTACATTATCCAGGAAAGAGAATGAAGCCAAGAAAAGCAGAAACCCTGTTACATTTTCGAGTATAGTGGTAAACTATGCAGATTGTAAACAGACTTTTTATTTTCTATAGGGCATTTAAAATATATTTTCCCTTCTCTTAATCCTGGCAAGAAGCACTCTCTAAACTCATAAGCTATGAATTCCCCCATCTCCAGAAGGAAACAACTCTTTATGACTGTTCTTGTTTGCCTTGCTTCCTTTTCCCCACCACAGTAAGTTTTGAGACCAGTGGCCAAATTCAGCCATGTGTAATGGAGAGGAATAAGCTCAAAGAAACTGTATTCCAGCAACTTTCATGAAAACAGGCAGCCAGAGAGTGGAGAGACTTTTATTTAGAAGGAATGGCTGAAGTGGGAGTTCAGCCCTTACTGGAAAATCTATGAAGTCAGTGCAAACTGTGGGGGAAAAAAAAGTCTTTGACCAAGGTCTGCACCTTCTTGAATTAGTTTTATTGTTCGTGAAATATTTTTGTTCCATTCCTTTATTCCCAAATTCCTACTTTTGTATGAATCTGTACCTTTGCCTGCATTAACTTTAAAGATAGGTTCAGAAATGCTGTCCTGAAAACACCATTATTTCCTGAACTGTGTTCTCCCCTTCAAAACCAGGTTTTTGTTAGACCATGTAATGCTGTTCTATGTAACACAAAGGCCCTGTTTTTTTATTATCAGCTTGTAGGATTTCAGGAAGCTGAAGATAAAAGTGACCCTAATTTTCGTATTCACTCTTGGCTTTCTCTGTCTTGAACTGTTTGTGGAACAGGTTTAATGGACGTTCTCTGCATTTCTTGGTTCTTAATGACATACACAGCCTGAATGTAACAGACTGGCTTTTCCTGAACTTCAGTCTTAACTAGAATTTTCAAGACACAAACACAACACAAAGATGTTTCCCAAAGAGGTTTAACAATCACACGTTTGCTGCCTTTTAGATTTTTGACAACACAAGCAAGATGGCTGAGCTGGAATAAAATGGAGGCAAGCACAGGCTTACATGCTCAAAGTCCTCATAATGAAGTGACTAAGGTACCTTAAAAAAAATTCCTACTAAGTGCTGGCAGAAGCAATCCATAAACACTTTGCTACCCTGTCACTAGAATGGATTTAGATGACACAAGATGAAGACAGCCATGCCCCTTTATGCCAGAGCTTTCAGTGTAAGTGATGCTACTTAGGTGAAGGGTGTTGAATAAAGGGAGAAAACCTCCCGTGCAGAGGCCTTAACAAGCACCAGAGGGAATTTACAATCCTCTCTTTCTACTTTTCTAAAGTCCTGAGGGGTGCCCTGAAATGTAAAAAAATCACACCAATTTTTTGGCAAACTGTGCTGTTCCAGATATGTAGAGTATCCTTAGCAAACACAAAAATGAAAGGGGAAGCATACAAAGTGCTAGTTAAACCATTTATTTAGCATTTTGTCGTCATGTTGCTTTGAGGATTTTTGGTCCCCAGCGTGGAAAAATGTGATCTAATAAAGTACTAATTTCAAAAAGAATATATGGAGGTTATTATACAGAAGCTTTTAATTGTCTCCTTTCTGCACCAAGCCATACTGCATCCAAAGGGGGGAGTTCTAGCCCCAGTGTTGGAATTTTCCCTCTTCCATCTTAGCTCTCTACAAGTCATTTGCTCCAACTCGACCAGAGCCTAGTGCTTAAAATTCTGGGTGGAGTGAGGCTCCAGCTCCAGCACATGAGAAGTGAGTCATCTTTGCGTGTTTCTATCCATTCATGAAGACTGAAACATGTTAATAATAAGCAGCTCTTCTTTTGTTTCTTTGGTTATGCTGGAAGAGGAGAACTAAAGAATTGAAAGAAACAAGTTTAGTGTTAAGAAATAAGCACTTTCATGAGCCCTCCAAAAGATCCTTAAGCATCTGCATATTTCTCTTGTAGCCCAGAATGTGACTGAGACAGCACATGATGTGTTGCCTGATGCAAGAACTATGTTCAGTTAATGCATATTGCCAAGTTTGTGTCTGCAAACAGGAGCTTGATTTGCTGTGTCTGGGCTGTGTCTGATTGTACTCATTCACAAAGCCAGCAAAATAGCTGGAAAAGTGGTAGAATACAGGAAACTGTTGAGCTTTTTGATCAATTATTCCAAAACAAGAATGATCAAATACAGGCCATAGGATTAAAACACAGTTGGAATCCATCCTCATTTGTAACATAAAGTTGAACATTTTGGAATGGTCTGTCCCTTCCCAGTCCACCCACTCATGTCAAAAGATGATGCAGTTGGATTTGCTGGTGATACCAAGATCCTGGTAAGCCACAGGCATGGTCCCTCTGGATAGTCAGATGTGTTCACTGGTGTGTCACCTCCTCAGCTGCTGGGTTACAAAGCAACAAGGTACCATTTATTACACTGCTGATCTCAGATAGCACTTCCTCTGTCATCTCCATTCATAGTTACAGATGACATGCAGAATTATTTTCAGCTCTGTTTGGCTCGTGTGCAGTCCAATTTTGCAGCTCCCCTCTGGATTCTGTAAATAAAACAGCAGGGAGAAGCCACCTTTTGTCCCCTTGTGCCAGGAGGACCTGCCAGACATCAACATGGACCAAACTGCTTTCTGTAACTCTGCTCACAGATTTCATAATCCATCTGTTTTCTGTAAAATGCAGTTATTTACAGCAAAGTTCCCTCCACTGTACAGTAAGTGGCTGTTTATGTTGCTGTTTCTGATGAGGCTCAATATTGTCTATTTTTCATTCTATCTCAGCACTGCCTTTAATTGCCTCTTTCCCCCAGATTTACGTATTATCCCTCCCGGCTGTTCACACACAGACTTCCCTTTCCTGGCAATCTTCCAGTCACTCCGTACTCCAGGCAGAGGTACTAAAACAGCAAAGCAGTTGATGAGAGCTAAAATAAATCTCCATTCTGTTATAGTGTGTGGCCCAGAGATGACTGAGCAATTGAACAACAGAGCAGCCGAGACACGTCAGAGGTTCTTTTCCTTTTCCTGACTGTTAATTTTATGTACTTTTGAGCAGGTACATAACAGGGTTGTAGAGGCTTAACAAATGTCTCTTCAAATGTTTTCAAATGCCATTATTTAGCACCACTGCAAGGCAGAGTAAGTCAGAATTAATGATTCTCTCAAATACCAAGTGAAAATTGTTCTTACAGGAATCGGCTTCATAACCCTGACACTTGAGACACCTGGAAAAGCAGAGACATTCCCTGGAGATCTGCTGAGGTCATTAACACAGCCAGGCTGACTCAGCAATGCATCTACACGTGCCCAAGTGCAAATATATAAGGGTTTTAATGTAGTGCTCAACATAAATATGCACTTATTTCGTAAATAAGTACCTTCTTGAATTAAGGCTCCAGCTTCTTGCCTTCTAATGCACCCAGACCCCACTGCTCAGTCATTGCCAGTAGGTGCTGGTGTCCAGTGACACCTGGGAAGCAGCAATGTGCTGCTGTGTCCCACAGAGGAGCTGCTTTGGTTGTGCTCTTTGTCTTACCTCTCCTGGGCACAGGTGAAGCCCTCGGGCTCCTGGCAGGCTGCCATGGTAAACCCAGCATGCTGCATGTTGGCTCGAGTGGGCAGTAAAGGCCTCAATATTGCCTCTCAAACACTGATTAGTAAAGCAGGCAATTGAAAAAAGTGTTTGTTTAGCTTATGGAGATTGTGGAAAAGAAAACAGCTCCAGAAATTCAAAGCTAGAAATGCTAGAGCAGGCACATCAGACTTCTAAGAATGAGCTTCCACGCCTCCACCCTCAGCTGCAAGGATGAAGGTCTTTCTTAGACAAGCAGTTGAAATGCAGTTCAACAAAAAGCCACTCAGAAGGGTCAAGAGCAAGGATTCAGGCAGTAAAATAAACACCTGGAGATGGAAAAATCCTTCTCCATATTTCCTCCCACATGTTTTGGAATTATTGTGCCAGGAAATTATTAAATCACACAAGTTTCAATAATGAATGTATTGCTTGGATGGCATGGGAAATTTCTGAGGGATACGGCTAAGGAAATTAAAAACTTTGAAAAGTCAGTGATGAAAGGTCAGATAGATGAGTAGGACTAAACCATTATAGGGACCTCTGGAAACAGTGCTGGTATGGGAGGATATTCCTCTGATTGACACAAGTGAGCATTAAGAGGAGGTGTGTGCATAAAATGCAGAGGGATCTTTGTTTAGTATTTTCTGCTGTAATTCAGCACAAAGGTCCCCTGTGATATTTTTGCTCAGCTTGGAAGACTCTTCCACCTAATTAGGAGAGCGACAAATCAGACCTGCTAAAGCACTTCTGTATCCAGAAGGCCATTTTTTTGTCTGGAGAACAAGGCTGCTTCTGCTGTGTCACAGATGCCAGTTTGTGGCACACCAGCGTTTTTCTTTGGCTTAACAAGGCTGGTGCCTCGGTAAGAGGCCCCTCACAATCTTGTTTTCTCACTTGCATTTTGCTTAATGTTGCAGTTCAGTTTTAGGTCATTAGATCTTGCTAAACACATACCAACAAAAATTAAGCTATCAGGGAATTATTGCAGCTATGTCATTTAGGAGAGAACATCCCTCTCCGTGTCACAGTACAGGATGTACTGATCAATGTGTTCTACCTGTCTCGGTCACACCTGCACGGGGGCATGTGGAGGGGAGCTGGGAGGTGACAGTGACAGCCTGGCCATAGCAGAATGGGCTCTGCATCCTCACTGACTGTGCCTGCCTTGCACCCTGAGCACACGGGGGGAGGATCCCACAGGCATCCACAAACACTGCTAGTTCCTCTCCACGCTGTATTACTGCAGCTTTGGGAACAAAAATAAATGCCAGAAATGTCACCAGCCTAGAACACAACAATGCACAATGAAGCAGATAAAATGACTCACAGGTCTCCTCTGCAGTGCTGTTTGCAGCCTAAATATTTTCAGGGCAGAAGGCTGCAGAAGAAGGCTGCAGAACTTTGAATCTGGAATTATCTCAGTCTCCAGCAAAATCCTGCCTTTTAACACTTCTTGGCTTTTCACAAAAATCAGATTACAAGTAACAAGTCCTGGGCATTCAGTCCTGGTCATCTTGCATGCATTATTCCAGGAGGAAAAATAGAGGCTGAGATTGTCCTTCCCTTGCAAAGCTTTCTCTGTGGGCAGGTGGATGCAATCGGGTTTTAACCTTTGCTTTCTTACGTGACAATTTTGTAACCTATTTATATCGAACTGCCGGATTTCTTGGCTGCTCCTCTGCCTAGACTCCACTCAAAGAGGGAAGGAACATCCTGTATCATTCTCCAAGAGGCTCAGTGGGCACAGATGTAAACAGATTGGCCAATGCAGGCACAAGGCAATGCTGAAAATAGGGCAATAAAGTTAAGACTATCGAGACCTGTCCTAGTGCATTACCGTGGACCTTACTGGAAGCCAAGAGCAGACTGCACCACCAGCCTTTGCAGTTGCTTCACACGAGGCAATATTCCCAGAGGAATTTTTCTTCAAAGGCATCCAGACAGCACCATCTAGTCAACAAACATTGCATGCAAACAAACACTGGGGTTGCACAGAAATTCTCAGAGACATCTGGGGCTCAAATCTAGGGCAAACAGGTCAGATTTTAGTACCTACATAACTTGAACTCAGTTAGAACTGGTGAAATGAATACACTGATGAGAGTGTCCTGAAGAAAAGAGGTGGAGTAAAACTGAAGGAAGGTAACTAAACTGCGTAATTCTTCCCAACTGCCCTTACAGGTTTGATCTGAAATGATAAAACTCTTTTGGGCAGTGGCTCCTATTGCAGGGCTGCCAGCACTTGACATACACATCCCAAACTGTACTGTTTTCTTCCCACACTGCAGGGCTAATGCCCACAGCATGGCCCTGGTGGCACACTCCACACCCCTGCTGCCCCCACTGACCCTGGCAGGCTGAGACACACACAGGGCTGGGCAAAGGCTGCTTCTTCCAAGTGACAGAAATCCAGCAGCTCTTCAGAGCCTTGACCTGTGGGCAGAGCTCCCCCCTGGCACATTAACAGAGAGCAGACTGACAGTTAATGTGGAGGGGAAAGGAGGGTCACTGAGAATGAAGATGCCAAGGGGGCCCATTGTTTTCCACAAAATATCCCTTTTCTAGAAGGTTCTGCCTCACCAACAGCAGTCACAGTCCAGCTAGATGTTATAGTGGAGGCAGGGCTCCACAGTCACTGTATTTAGAAAACCCTGCCTGGCATTCAGGGATCTTCCTGATTTGGCAGCCTGTTTATTCTGGGGGCACCTCCCTGCTTGCTTTCAACAGAGCCTT